TTTACCCCCTCACTCACCACAGGGACCTGCCACGGAGCCAGACAGTGCTGGGGGCTGCGGGATGGGCCACGAACGGGGCTGTGTACGCAGGGAAATGGGGGGGAAATTAGGGGACACTGCTGGGAATGGGCACCCAAAACAGGGCAGCGAGCCCCCCCTCCCTCGAGCCCTGTCACCAGGAGACCGGATCCTGCCCTGGGGAATGTGTGGCTGTTTGTGCAGAGGATTAGTCCCAGGGACCCCCGTGCCCGAGGCAGGGACAGTGTGTCCCATCCCAACGAGCCTGAGGCAGCACCCGGCACTGCTGGTTGTCATCGGGGACCAGAGTGAACACAGAGGGGCATTCCCGTGTTCCAGAGCACCCAGAGGAGGGAGAGGAGCGCTCCCATCCCTCTGATCCATGACAGGAACCGTGGCCAGGCTTCTCAGCTACCGCCTGTGCCTCAGTTTCCCCACATCTCCTCCCATCCCAAGCCCAGCCAGGAGCAGAGCCATGAATCCCTCAGCACTGACAAGAGCCAGAGGGAACCACGTATTCCCGTGGGGAATCAGAGCTGCTTCTCCAGGGCGAACCCTGGGCACCTCCATGTCCCTGCAGGGGAGAGGCCAGGACACTCGGAGCATCCCCGGGTGGTACCCGGAGGGGGGCCGGGGGGTCCCACAGGCCCGGGGGGCGTTGGGCGGGCGGCAGCCGCTGTTCCCAGCGCCGGGATTCCCCGCAGCTGCTTCCTGCCGTCCTATCTCACGGGCACATCTGGGGGAGCCGGGAGCGGCCGCCCCGCCGGCGCTTCCTGCGCTGCCCCCCCGGCCCCGGCCGCCGTTCTCACGGCCTCCCCCCAGGGCCAGCCGGAGCCCCCCACTTCCCCTCCCCACGCCTGACACCACAGCAGCCCCCCCCGTGTCCCATCTGCACCCCTGGGGGGTCTTACCCCCCCCTTGACCCTTTGGGGCATCCCCAGTGTTCTGGGGGGAGTGGAGCATCACACCTCCATGTCACCCCAACAGGGTGACCAGCTCATGCCATGTGACCCCCCCCCCGTCCCCCAGGCCCTATGGGGGTCCATGGGCACATGTGGGTGCCCCCGGTGGGGTGGGTGCTGAGGTGGTGTGGGGATGCACCTCCACTTTGGCGCTCAGCCCCCCCCTCCCTGCTCCTCCCCCTTCTCTCTCCACCCTTTTGATTCCTCCCTCCCCAAATTGCATCCCTCATTTCCCCTACAAAAGGAGGAGGAGGAGGATGGCGCTGGAGGGTGTGAAGGCTGCAGGTGTGAGCATCCCTCCCCCCCGGTCGCTGCAGGTGTGGGGACACTGGGGTGACTCAGAGGAGCCCGGGCCCCGCTGTCACCGCTGGGGTGATGAGTGAGGCACCTCCTGCCTCCCACGATATCCTCCCGGGGCCGGGGTGCGGCGGCGGGGGGGGCAGCGGGCACCCAGACCTGGCACCGCCCTCGCCACAGCCCCCCCCACACGTGGGGAGCTCCCACCTGGAGAGGGGAAACTGAGGCACGGGGGGAAGAGGAGCCCAGCCTGGGTTTTGTGGGGGCTTTGCAGGTCCCTGGAGGGGGTTTTGCTGTTCCCTGCTCTTCCCCCCCAAATCCCTCCCTTTCTCAGCCCCCCTCCAAATTCCTCCCCCCAGGTCCTGCCACGCTGCAGGATGTGGCTTTGCCAGGCTGCCTCATTACACCCAGAGACCGTTACAACTCATCACACCCCCCACCCTGCGCTGCCCAGCCCCAAATCGCACCAGCCCCAGCAACCCCTCACCCCAGAAAACCCGACACACCCCTCCAACACCCTAAACACCCCCAGACCCTCCCCAAAACCCAGAACACGAGCCTCTGGCCCAGCCATTCATCCCCACTAGCCCCAGAAACCCACATCCCTCGGCGTTGCACGGAACAAACCCCCCCCATGGAAAAACATGGAGGGGGGGGGGAGTAGAGATGTTTTATCTCAGCCCCCATCGGCCCCTAATAAGGCAGGTTTATTTTTAGTGGAGGTGAAAGCCGGAGCCACCAGCTCAAGAGCTTTTTCCACTCACATCTGCATTTGTACAATTTGGGTTTCCTGTCGTGGTTTCGGCGCTTTTCAAACCTGCCCGAATTGTTATTTTCTTCACTCCGGTGAAGAAGCCCCACAGATCCTTCCCTCCCCTGGTATAAATATCCCACCGACATCCCCTCTGCGACTCCCTGCTCATCCAGCCCCTGCTGCCCCGATTTCTTGGAATGGGATCCGAGCACCCCCCCGGCATTGGGATGCTGGTGGAAGTTCAGGCTGGACCAAGTCATTCCTGGATTTGTGTCTTTCCAGCCCTGGATTGTGCCTTTCCAGCCCTGGATTGTGCCTTTCCAGCCCCAGCATGGGATGAGAAGCCGTTTTGCAGACCCTGAGTGGGGAAACTGAGGCAGGGGTGGGTGTCAGTGCTGGGGACCCCCAACCTGGTCACCCCCAGGGTTGTGTGGCCACGCTGGGGTTAAGCTGGAGACGTGTCAGGAAGAAAAGTGGGGAACAAAAGGGTTGTGCCCTCCCTCTGCTGGGAACCCGGTACATGGGGATGGGCTGAGCCCGGCCCGACTCATCCCAGCTGTGCTGGGGGACGGGGTGGGTCGGGGGGGGACAGCTGGGTGTCCCCCCACTTCCTCTGACACACAGTTTCCATCTGCCCGGAGCAGGTGCCAGGTGAGGGGCAGCAGGGGGGTCAGGGAGGGCCCCCTCATCTCCTCTCCTCGAGCCACATCCCTGCAGGGCTCTGCAGGAAAGGGGAGACATTTGGGTTTTCCCCCCGGTACATCCCAGTGCTCCTCCAAACCCACGGGAGCTGTGGCTGCGCAATCCAAGGACCCTTGGGAGTGGCCAAGCTGGGGGTTCCCATTCCCAAAGCCCAGCACTGTGACTGTCCCTGCCTCAGTTTTCCCACTCAGAGTCTGAAAAGCAGCTTCTCTTGCACTTGCTGGGGATGAAAACCACAATCCAGGGCTGGATTGATGTGGTCCAGCCCAAACCTCCACCAGCTTCTCCATCCTTTGGCCCCTCTCCTTGTCCCATCAGTGGCTGGGGAGGGGAGTCCGGGGGGTCCCAGGGGAACAACCCACAAATCCTGACATTTGGGCACCCCCATCCCAGCCATCCCCTGTCATGAAACCCCACCACGTGTGCCCACGGCCTCTCCAGGACCATTCCATGGGATGAGGAGGATGCTGGGGCGTGAGGCTGAAGGCCAGAGTGCCTTGTCCCCTGTCCCTGTGCCCAACTCCCTCTGCAGGGCCGGGTGCTGTGGCAGCTGCGGGGCCAGGTGCAGGAAGCCGACCTGCACTCGCTTTCTCTCTGCTTTTAGTTTTTCACTCTCGGGTGACCCCGGGGAACTTCACTTTCTGCAAAAACGTCCCTCTGTGTGTCATCTCCTGTGGAGCTGGGGACAAGCCCCATGCCCCATACCGAGCTCAGCCCCATGGGGACGTGATGGCACCTTGTGTGCCCCCATCCCTGGAGCTGTGGGGGCAGCCAGCACCCAGTGGGGACACAGGGGCGGGAGGTCACGGCACGTGGCACCTGTGCATGCACGTATGTGAGTTGTATGTGAGTTGTATGGCCCCGCGCACGTATGTAGGTGTGTGTAGGTGGCCCGTACGTCCCTGAGCGCGCCCACGCTCGTCCCCTCTGTCCCCGTGTGCCGCCCACACCCGTGCGGGCCGCGGGGGCCGTGTTTGGGGTGCGCGCGTACCGTATGTACGGCTCGTACCGTAAGTACCGTATAGGCGCGCACCCGCTGCGCCGCTGCTGCCCCCTGGCGGGTGGGAGGCAGCGCGGCCCCGCAGCGCCACCTGGCGGGAGAGCGGGGAACTGCAGCCCGGACACACGGACAGACGGGACAGACGGACACGGGGACACGGATACAGGGATACAGGGACACACGGAGACACGGACAGATGGACAGGACAGACGGACACGGGGACACACGGACAGGACAGACGGGACAGACGGACACGGGGACACGGATACAGGGATACAGGGACACACGGACAGATGGACAGGACAGACGGACACGGGGACACAGATAACGAGGATACAGGGATACAGGGACAGGACACACGGACACGGGAACACGGATACAGGGATACAGGGACACACGGACACACGGACAGATGGACAGGACAGACGGACACGGGGACACGGATAACGAGGATACAGGGATACAGGGACACACGGACAGATGGACAGGACAGACAGACACGAGGACACGGATAACGAGGATACAGGGATACAGGGACAGGACACACGGACACAGGGACACAGGGATACAGGGACACAGGGATACAGGGATACAGGGGCACACGGACACACGGACAGGACAGACGGACATGGGGACATGGATACGAGGATACAGGGATACAGGGACAGGACACACGGACACGGGGACATAGGGATACAGGGATACAGGGACACACGGACACACGGACAGGACAGACAGACACGGGGACACGGGGACACAGGCATACAGGGATACAGGGACACACGGACACACAGATAGGACACACGGACACGGGGGCACACGGACAGGACAGATGGACACGGGGATACAGGGACATGGATACGAGGATACAGGGATACAGGGACAGGACACACGGACACAGGGGCACAGGGATACAGGGACACACGGACACAGACAGGACACAAGGACACAGGGATATGAGGATGCAGGGATACAGGGACACGGACACACAGGCACATGGACACATGGACTGTGGACACTTGGACACAGCATCCACGGACACAGGGACATGGACACAGGGTCACATGGACAGGACACACGGACACAGGGGCACAGGGACATGGACACAGGGTCACAGACACATGGACATGGACAGAGGGACACGGACTTACAGACGCAGACCTGCCTATACACACACGGACACACGGACATGGATACACGGACACACAGACACAGGCACAGCCCCCCCCCCAACCAGCACCCAGTGACCCCCCAGAGCCCCCCAGGAAAAGCCAGGACAGGGTGGGGGTCACAGGGCTTTAACTGGGGGACAGTGGGGTGCTATGGGGTGGCAGCGACACGTGGGGCCAGCAATGCCAGGGACACGGGGACAGCCCAGGGGACACGGGGTGGCCCCTCAGCGTGTGATGGGGCAGGTGACCCCGGTGCCCTTCATGGCACAGGAGGCCCCGGGCACCTTGTGCAGGTACTGCTGGTGACGGTCCTCGGCGTAGTAGAAGTCACGGGCCGGCTCGATGGCGGTGGTGATGTCCCCACGCCGCTGTGTCCCCAGCTCCTAGGACAGTCCCATGGCGGGGGGAGCCTGGAGGGACCCCCCATCCCACTGCCCCGCACGTGGCACAGCCAGGGCAGGGGCTTGTCCCATGTCCCGGGGCTGGGGGAGGTGGTTGGTGTCCCCAGGGGTGTCACAGTGCCCCCAGGGTGGGGCCAGGTGTTCCCAGGGGGGCCACAGTGATCCCTGTGTGTGTCCCGGTGTCCCCAGGGGTGCTCTTGGTATCCCCAGGGGAGTCCTGATGTCCACAGGGGGGTCCCAGAGTCCCCAGAGTCCTCCTAGTGTGACCAGGAGGGATCCCAGTGTCCCGGGGGGGGTGTCTCTGTGTCCCACGGGTGTGTCCTGGTGTCCCCAGGAGGGTCGTGGTGCCCTCAGGGAGGGCCTTGGCGTCCTTATGGGGGCTCCTGGTGTCCCCAGGGAGGGTCCCAGTGTTCCCAGGGTGGGTCCCAGTGCCCCCATGGGTGTCCTGGTGTCCAGAGGGGGGATCTCAGTGTTCCCAAGAGGGGTCCCAGTGTCCCTGGGGGCGTTTCCACTGTCACCAGAGGTGTCCCAGTGTCCTGGAGGGGTCCCAGTGTCCCCAAGGTGGTTCCCAGTGGCCCTGGGGGGATCTCTGTGTCCCCAGGGCATCCCAGTGTCCCCAGTACCTGCTGGTACAGGTCCCTGCTCCGGAGGGCAGTTTCCTGCTGCCGGGTGCCCAGGGTGTAGATGACGGAGCGGTACTGGGTGCCCACGTCCTCCTGCTGCCTCATGCCTGGGGGGCAGCCCCCACGGGGGGGTTATGGGGCACCCCCAGACCCCACCAGGCACTGCCTTCCCCCCTGATGGGGAAACTGAGGCATGGGGGGCAAGGCAGGGGGATCCTGCTAAAGGGGTCGGTGAGGGAAGTCACTGCAAGACCCCCCAGCACCAAACTGGGGAGATGCCAAGGACCTTCTGCTGGAGCCTGTTTGGGGTTAAACCCTCCAAAACTGGGGCTGCCCCAGGTGCTGCCCCCCCGCAGCCAGCACCAAGGGGTGCAAATGCCAAGACCCTCCTGTTGGAGCCCATTTGGGGTTAAGCCCCCCCAGACTCCCCCGTGCCCAGGCCAGGGGCTCATCCCTACCTTGAGTGGGGTCGTGGTTCTCCCAGAAAATTTTGAGGAGCTCCTCGTAGCTGATTTTCTGGGGGTCAAAGACCACCCTCACCACCTCGGCGTGCCCCGTCAGCCCTGCGAGCAGAGCCAGCCCTGCTGCAGCCCCTCGGCGTGGCCTCCTGCCCCCCAACCTCCCCCTGCCCCGGGATGGAGGCAGGGATTGGGATAGGGAGGGGCACCAGCATCCTCTCACGCCCCGGGACCCCCTTCCCCAGGTGCCTGGTGGAGGTGGGATCCCCAAAGCTATCCCACACTGGGATGAATCCCCAGCTGGACATGGCAGCCGGGATAACATTCCCTGCAGACAGTTAATCCTCTGCAGAACGTCTGTCCAGCTAAGCCAGGGCTGTCTGTCCAAGCTGGGGGGTTTGAGGAGCTGGGGTGGGGGACAGGGGGGTCATTGTCCAACAGACACCAGAGAGCATCCCATGGGATCCAGGCCAGGGCAAGGGGCTGTGGGACACCCTGAGGTGCTGGATGGGGATGTCACCCATTGTGGGGGACACTGGGGGTCCCCGTGGCAGCAGGGGAGGGGGAGCCCCCGGTTACCTGTGCGAACCTCTTCGTAGGTGGGGTTGGGGGTGAAGCCTCCTGCGAACCCCACCTGGGTGGAGAAGACCCCTGGCGTGTTCCAGAAGAGCTGCTCGGCCCCCCAGAAGCAGCCCATGCCTGTGGGGGGACAGGCAGGGAGGGTGAGCGGGGCTGGGGGGCTCGGGGCTGCTGGGACCGCCCTCCCCCGGCACGGCAGGAGCCACTCACCGAAAATCGCCGTCTCCATCTCCGCCGGGAACGGCGGGACTGTGGCATTCCCGGTGACAGCGTGGGTGGCTGGGGGGGGACACGGGGTCAGGACCCCCCAGCCCACCCCAAATTGAAGCCAACTCCACCCTGTGTGTCCCCCTAAAAGCAGGCACTGACCCTGTCCCCGTCCCCTCCAGCTCCTGGGGACGCTGGAACCCTCCCCATGAGACATTATCACCCTCTGGGGACACCAGGACCCCTTCTGGCCCATCTGCCCACTGGCCTGTGTCCTCTCATGGCCACCCTGACCCCAAACGGGTCCCTGTGGGCATCTCGAGGCTGTCACTGGCACCCTCCAACACCAACACCCCAGAGCAGCCCCCCAAAACCACAAGGGTGTCCCATGGGTGGGTCCTGGTGTCCCCAAGAGGGTCCCAGTATCCCCAGGGAGAGTCTTCGTGTCCCCAGAGTGGGTCCCACTATCCCCAGGGGTGATCTTGGTGTTCCCAGGGGAATCCCAGCGTCACTGGGGGGTCTGCTGTCCCCAGGATGGGCCACAATGTCTCTAGAGGGGGTCCTGGTGACCCTTCAGGGATCCCAGTGTCATCAAGAAGGGTCCCTGTGTCCCCGGGGTGATTCGGGTGTCACCAGGGGATCCCAGTGTCCCCAGGGGGGTCTCCGTGTCCCGTGAGGGTGTCCCAGTGTCCCCAGCGCTGATGCCCTCAGAGCAGCCCCCCAAAAACCTCGGGGGGGGGGGGGGGGCTCAAGGTACCACCCCCTCCCTGCCCCCAGTACCTGTCACTGTCATCCTCTGTGCTCTGCCTGGCAGAGCCTCGCCGGGGCTGGGGAGCCCCCCTGCACCCCGCATGGCCCTCCGGAGAGGGGCTGTCCCACCCTCCAAACTGGGAGCTGGACGCTGCAGGTGCTGGCAGAGGCACTGGGAGCACTGGGAGCACTGGGAGGGAGGAGGGTGCGGGAGGCAGAGCCCGGCCCGGAGCGGAGTCACCGCGGGGGGCACAGGAGGGGCCGTCACAGGGACACAGGGACACAGGGACAGGGTGCACAGCCCCGGGGAACCCCCCAGTGGGACCCCCGCGGGTGTCAGAGCGTGTCCGGGGACAGGGCAGTGGCCCCCGCCCGGGGAGTGACCGCAGGGGACACGGGCAGAGTCCCGGAGTGTCCCAACAGCCCGTCAATCGTTAAACAGCCCGAGGGTCACCCCGGGACGGCTCCGGCCCCCCCCGGCCGGGCCCCACCGGCGTCTCCCCAAAAACAGGAGTGGGGATGCAGGCCCTGCCAAAAGCCTCCAAAAAACCAGGAGTGAGGCTCCAGATCCCCGTGGCTGAGTCCCAGCAAAGCCCCCCCAAACCAGGATTAGGGTCTGGGCCCCCCCGGCCGTCCTGGACCCCAGGGCAGCACTCGGCTGAAGGGATGCAAGCCCGGGGCGCCCCTAAATCCCCCTCCCCAGCCCACAGAGCCCCATTCCGGGTCATCCCTCTCCAGGAGAGGGTGCTGCTGCCTTTGGAGGCGCCGGAGTGGGATCGGGGAACACAGACGGGACGTCTTGGATGGAGGGAGGGGGCGAAATCTCATCACCTTCGTTTGTGGGGGAAGAGGAGAAGGAGAACAAGGATCAGCTTGGCCACATTAACATCCTTTTCCCAACTGTTTGGTCCTTCCGAGGATGCTTTTCGCTGCTTTCCCTGCACGGAGCGACGTCCAGCTCTATCCTGCAGAGCAATTCCTCCTGGATAACGCTGTCACCGCTGAGGGTTTGCTGCTCTCAGTGTCCCTGCTGTCCCCCAAGGCTGCCAGAATCCCTCCATCCGGGCTGGATGAGCCCTGTTCCCATTTGCTGCCTCCTCATCCTCATCCTCCCACGGGTCCTGTGCCCCCCAACCACCCTGCATCCCCCAGGAATGGTGAACACAGCTGTGCTGGGTTAATGGCTGGACTTCATGACCTCAGAGGGCTTTCCTAACCTAAAGGATTCCATGATTCTGTCAGGAATTTCCTTTTCCCAAGCAAACACACTGGTGCTGAGCCACAGCACCAAACCTGCCCCCCCACAACCCCCTGCCTGGAGTTTCTTGCCTCCAAGGCTCAGCTGAGCTGTTCCCTTTCAGGGATTTGGGGTGTTTGCAAAGTTTGGAAAACCCCAAATCAGCCCCTGCACGAGCCCCTGCAAAGGCCCAGCCTGGGTTTACATAACTCCAGGGATTTATGCAATTTTGGGAAGCACAGCAGCAAAGCAGCTTTTCCTTTCCCTTTCCCCATGAACCCCCCACCCCCAAATATTTTTACGTTTTTCTTTTCCAAGGAAATCACAGTAATAAACACCTTTTTGCTCTTACCTGTGCCCCATTCACAGTGAGATGACACTCTGTGCTTTTGGGGTCTTCAGTCACAATTACAGGTGGATTTTTCCCCCCTTATCCTGCAGTTTTCCACACACAGCCCTGCTGAAAGCAAACCTAGAAAATTCCCAGGTTTTGTCCCAGTTTAGACCAAAACAGGACCAGATCCAGACTGAAGCAGGGGAAATTCAAGCAGCAGCTTGTCCCAGCTTGGAGGACAAGGATATGACCAGTGGATAAAGTTGTTTTTTCCTTAAATAAAAATAATTGCAGGCACCACACCTGCAGCTGAAGTATCGTGGTTTTCACATCCCATCTTCCTCTTCCTCTCACGTCTCTCGGGTTGTCACTTGAAGACCAAAAAGGGGAAGAAACTGCCTGACCAACAGTGAAACCAGCACACAAACACCTGCAGGCACAGCCCAAAACCCCTTTCTCCAGCTTTTATTTTTTTACTTACAACTAAAATTCTCTCAAAAGACAAATTGTTAAAAAACTGTGGGCTTTTAATCAAGTTGAGTGTCTGCCCTTCCCTCCTCCAGCTTTGCAACAACGTGGGTTTTACCTCCCTCTGAAAGCACACGGGGACACCAGTGAGGAATTTGGGGGTTTGGCCACCTCAAAGAGAGACTGAAAGTATTGAAGAATTAAGAAAAGTTCTTTTGGAGAGAGCAAGTGACATCATAGAATTACAGACTGGTTTGGGTTGCAAGGAACCTTAAAGACCACCTAATCCAACATGCAGGGACAACCTTCCACCAGCCCAGGTTGCTCCAAGCCCTGTCCAACCTGACCTTTAATTTAATATAAAATATCCCAGGAAAATCTAAATGGCCACAGAACTGCTTTGACACCTGCAGAAAACACCAGCCCGGGTCTTTGCCTGACACCTCCCGGAATATTTTGGAACTGAGTTTTCTTTGTTTGCTGTTCAAAAGGAACGATTAACAATAAAAAAAATAACAACTGAGCTGATTTTTCAGTGAGTGCAGCAACAGAGGGTGCAGGAGCATCCCCATCCTGCGTGGGAGCAGGGAAATGGGAATGCCAGGAGCACCAGGAGCACTTTCTGCCCGAGCAGGTGGCTGGATCCAGATGTTTCCCAGCTGTGATTTAATAACTGGGATACTTTCAATACCCTCAAGGACACCCACTGACCACACCAGGAGACACCAGTGATGCTCAACAGGATTTCACGTTTATTACTGAGAAGTGATTAATGGTGAAAAGAAAGGCAACGCCCATTCCTCGTTGGCTTAACAAGAAACTGAAACAAAGTCACTACACATTTTTTTTTTACAATTATTTCTTCCTTGGTTTGTTTTTTTTTTTTTTGGTGCTTTTTTTTTCTTTTTTTTTTCTTTTTCCTTGTCCAAAATTATTAATTTTTCCTGTAAACGAAACGAGTTTTTTTAACCACTGTTCTCAGCTTTCAAAAAAAAAAAAAAAAATCAAATTCATCCAGACTTAATCTGTATAATGCACAAGAACAGAACATTTCTTAGGACTCCTAGTACTTGACTTTCGAGTAACAAAGGGCTGGAGAAAAATGAACCACCTTTAAGACACAACTTCGTGGATAATTTCTGTTTAATTCTTCTTAGGCCAAAAAACTCCCAACTTCCTTGGAGAATTCATCCTTTTCCAGGCTGGGGAGGAGGGAGAAAGAAAAAATATAAAATAAAAATGACTCCACTCTCCAGGGGTGGATGTTACAACTCTTGGTGTTTTCCAAGTGCAAATGTCAAAACCAGGGGGAAGGAGGCGCGAGGGGGTGGAAGGAAGGGAGGCTGCAGGGTTTAAAAATTAGAGAGGAAAAAAAAAAAAAAAAAGGCATATGCCACTTATGGACTTGAAAATCCCCCCC